CAATAGTCTTCTCATGTACGCTCTTGCCACGAATCCTTGGTGCAACTGGTATGTGAACCAGTCAACATTTATTGCAAACAGTTAGGTCAGGCAAACAATCAGTTCATCTGTCCTTGAGCACCACTTGCAGCCGTGCATCTTCTTGCCGAAACGAGCTAGGCGATGGGTTTCTGGAATTACAAGAGTGGTGCAGCTGGTGCAAGAGGAACACGCTTCAGTGCAGCGATCCCAAAAACCAAGAATGCTCCTCAGCCGACGTTCTTGGCAAAACGACATTGCACATTTCGCCCCCGTCAAGTAGCCCAGTGCTGACTTTGGAAAAGTAGTGCAAACTTTGTGTTTCTTAGGGCTTGTTACTGCAGCAATGCTTCTGTTTGGCAACCAGACCAGACTGTGAGTGTCAAGAGGCAAGGGGAAAGAAACCCAGCTCCGATAATGAAGACCTTTTCTCAAGCTTCCATACTTTACACGTATAATCAGATATATATTCAACTGATCACTGTTGTCAATACCATTTCACAACGCCAGAGCGATGCAAGCCATGCTATCATGTTAGGCTGACAAATGAGGTTTCCGCTTCACGGCCTTCCCAGCCGAGACTCTCCATGAGTGGCTCTTGGTTTCATCATACCACTTCCGCCGAGGCCATGCGAAAAGCATGAGTAAAACCGTCCTTCAATTCTACCAATGAAGCAATCTATTGAAAAGGGCAGCAGAGACCGTTGAAGGATTCAAAAACTCAACTGATTGTGTTTATTGAAGAACAAAAACTATCAGATAAAGAGCAATAAAGGATGCCGACTTATCTTGTGGTTTGCCACGGCTTGCCGAATGAAGTCAACTCGGTCGACTGTCTATGGCCTTGGCTCGAAGCATGAAACTGTGCGGCACAGCTCGAGGTGCCATGGACATGGAAGCGGTAGACATCGGAGCTGTGTTTATAGCTCCCAGCATTGCTCGCCGAATATTTGTTTGTCAAGGTCCAGGTGCACACAACAGAACTATGCCATACAAATCATGAAGGCCCATCATGCAGTTCCGTTGCAGGATGTGTCAATATGTTTCATTTGTATCTGTTGGCTATATTGCTGGCGTTGCCACAGTGAACATTTGCCTTTGACCAATGCCTACCCTGCAAGAACATGCGATGCCACCCTGCAGAAGGGATTGATAAAGAGCATTTGAGATTGGTTTGCCAAACGCTTCAGAAACCTGAAAGCTGCAAGCTTCATCAAGCTTTATTGTCAAGCCTTACACATGTGGTCCTGCACACCATGAAACACCATGAAGGCCTTTTTCTGCAAACCTCATGTGGCTTTCAGCTTCACTTGGTGAGGCTGAATCCGCATGGACCAAGGGCAAGAGACAGCCAAGAAAAATGTTGCTGCTGTTGCTGGCCCCTTGTGCTTTGGTTGTGAAACCAAATCTGCGTCCTGCTGGACCCTCTGGGCCAAATCTCTCCTTTTCCACATTCAGAAGGATCTGTGGATTGGATTGGATTTGGGCTAGTTGGCCCAGTTCAACTGGCCATCCTGCATTTGCAGGGCATGCTGGTCACGAAGCACATCAGTTTATATCGAAGGCAGCTACCGTTGCCCTGGACACTTTGGCAAGCAACTGCTCAAGTAGAGGGTGACTGTTGCCAGGCTCAGTGATGTCTTTCCAAAAAGTGCATCTCTGGAGAAATGGAGCCAGTTGTAGATGCTGATAGGCGGTTATCATACTGAATGCGCTGGGCATTCCGCCAGTCTGCTCGCTTCAAATCAGTAGACCACTTTGGATCCACTGCTTTCTGCACCGGCACCATACACTGTGACATGTAGGTGGTGGTCAGTTGCGGGGGCAAACCCATATTCAACGCACTGCGTCGCAACTCAGCGGCGGCTGGTTGTAGTTTCTTTCTCTGCACTCTGCTTTCCTGGCTTTCTCGTCTCAGTTCTGGCAGAGAGGTCGAAGCTTTCAGAGACTTGGGCACCTCCAAAACCAAGGTGCTTCGATCTGCTTCTCGTAATTCATCAATATCGCGAACAGCAATATGTGTGTCCACCATGGGGGACCACATCACAAAGCGCTCCGCTGGCGTTGCTTTCCTGGCAAGCCCGGTGGCGGGTGGAGTCGGGGCCAAAAGTTGTGGTGTAGGAGGCACAGCTGGCAGCGCTGCAGCGCCACTACCGGGGCCACCAGGGCCTGGCTGTGACTTTGGCTCAGTGCGAAGCCCAAGGCCTTTCTCGCTCAAGGAATCGATCGCCACAAGCTGTTCATCGATATCCTTGATGTTGCTCAATGACGCGTAAATGCCACGCTGCATCTCCTTGTCGTCACACAGAACTTTGGCAACAGCATCGGCCAAAGCATGCGCGGCTGCCATCGAAGCTCAAAAAACGCAGTGTGAATCTATGGGTTGCAAGTGCGTCGACCACCGAAGTATTGCTGGCAACTGGCTGCTTTGATAAGGGTGTGTCCAAAACTAATTCAGTAGTATTTGAGACTGGTTTGCCAAACGCTTCGGAAAGCTGAAAGCTGCAAGCTTCATTGTCAAGCCTTACACATGTGGTCCTCCACACCATGAAACACCATGAAGGCCTTTTTCTGCAAACCTCATGTGGTTTTCAGCTTCACTTGGTGAAGCTGAACCCACATGGACGGACGTGAAACCAAATCCGCGTCCTGCTGGACCCTCTAGGCCAAATTTATCCTTTTCCTCATCTGATCCAGTGCCAGAAGAATTTGTTTTCTTGAAACGCCTTTCAACCCTGAGTCAGCATGCGCATCCATCCTATGTACAGAAATGGGTTGGGAGCTTCTTTGGCTCCAGCTTTAGCGCGCGGAGAGTCTCCCAGCCAATCTCGGCCTCGCAAAAGGGTATGACTCTCGGCCCACCGGAGTGGGGATGTGATAAGGATCAAGTTGAGTGCCCAGCTCTCGCCTTCGTGCCTCCAATTTGACATGGTTTTGTTCGGTATGCACAGGAAGGTTAGCAACAGTCACCACAAAAGGCTTCACTGCTCTGTCAGCTGTGCCTGCGATCTGGCTGGACCTCGGAATGGAAAGCATCTTTAAGCCGACAACAAGCTTGCAAAAACGTAAAAGCGTGAAGCATAGCCAAGCGCGAAGCTGCCATCTTGCCTCATGTCATCCGCTCACATTCATCGACACATTCGACTGTTCAGCCTGAGAGATGAAAAAAGGAAAGGTAAGGGTTCAAAATGCCCCCTTTAGAAGGCGGGGTTCTACACCCTTACCCTCCTTCTTTAATCTCCTTTTCCTTCTTTTTTTGCTCGTGTTATGCTGCGACGACCGAGTTGTGTACGAGTTTGAGCTCGTGAGGCTCTTCAGCTGCTTTCGCAGGTCATCAGCTTCGCTGCGGAGGCTCTTGAGCTCTCGCAAAGCATCCTGGATCGCTTCGCTTCAGAGAGTGTCTCTTGCATCAGAGGGAAACAACGGTATCGACAGCGTGAAAATTGGTTGTGGAATTAGTCTGAGAAATGCTGAAAGAATGCAGTTGTATGACTTTCTATGACACACTGTGGCTCTACTATATATATATATATTCCTTTCTCAGATGTATATATATATATATATATCTGGTTCTAGTTCTAGCCCCTGTCATTTGTACCCACTTCTCCTCTGCGCATGCCTTTGCCACCCGCGTCAAGCGCCGCATATCTTGGCAAAAAAGTGCTTCCTTCGGAGTGCTTTTGTCAAACACGGTAGGAGTTACAAGTGCGGAAACCACTGTCCAAGGAGTAGCCTCAGCCCATCCAAAACCTTTGGCAGTAAATTGCCTGCTGGTCCAGTGCATCCACTTTCTTGGGTGGGCTCCTGAATTGTGAGGTATGCAAGCGCGGAAAAGCAAGTGAAGCATCAGGCTGCCATCTCTCCTTCTGCGTACAGGCAAGTCCTGCAGGGTACAGGGATGGATCTACATGATGACAAAAATGATATCTGATAGTCCAGGTCCACAGCATGATATGGCAATATTTGGTAGATACTTGCAACACAAGCGAGGTGTCACAAAAATGTCCATCCTCGTTCTTGCTTTGAGCATAGCTTGCATAGCTCCTCCTGGATGAAGGCGAATCCTTGGCATTTTGCGCAAGGCATGGAGCGGCATTGTACAACGCCGGTCGTTCTAAGGTCGCAACTGGCTCTTTCCAACCTAGCGAGACCCGAGACCCAAACGCGACAGGTTCTGAGACAATGTTTGTTTCTAAGAGTCAAAAGAACTGCAAGACGCACCCGTTGGCATCGGCTGGGAGCCAGATGACAAAGTGATTCTGACCTCTCACAGCGGAAAGTGCTGGACTTACGGCCATTAAAGGCCTACCAAAAGGCGCTAGCAGAAGGACAAAGCACCCCCCGAAACCCTTGGTCGTGGTTTTGAGGCGAATCTGTTTCACTATCTCTATTGTTTGAAGAAGTTTCGGCTGTTACGTGCCCCGTCTTGCCTTCGGCCTTTCCCAATGCTTCACATTGTCCTGTGTCCGGTCCAGAACCAGGGATCAAATCCAAGCACTCGGATCAACCCACTACAGGTTCTATGATCCCCTTCTCCATACATCATTCTTGACACTTCAACTAGTTTCGAGTCGGGGTGTCCTTCAAAGCATATTTGGCGGCTTGTAGACATTGCCTGGCCAAATCCGGCACAAAATAAACAAGCTGAACAACATAAGAAATCAAGCTGATTCCCATCCCATCCCAATGTTTGCCAGCCACACCCAGCAATGCTACTAGAGATCTGCCGAAGGGTCGCAGGTGTTCGTGCCTGGCGATAACCCACGGCGACAAGGGCCAAGGGCCGGCAAAGGCCATGTAAGAAGAATCCTTTTCTGCAGCTCACATGGCTCACGGCCCGCGGCTGTCGCTGGCGTCCTTTGATGTCAACCTTGTACAATGTGAGTGTCAGGCTCACGTCGTACACAGGGCATACTCAGCAACTTGTAACTCGTTTGTCCACTTGGAATCGGCAGCAACTCACAGCCATACTCGTAATATTGTTAAGACCAGAGGCTGCTGCCAAAGGTTGATTGTTCGCGAGTCAATCCGACAAATCGGTCTGTTTGGGTTATTCGAATTTTCCGACCTCCGGTGAAGCCAGTTGTAAACTTCCTGAGCCATCGCTCTCTCAGTGCCTGGTTCCTGCTAAGGACAACAACTGGCACTTTGGCATCCTTGTCAAGAAGCCGCCAAAGCCGGAAAGCCGCAAGCCGCCGATTATCCAGGGAATAATAGCGATGGCGAAACCAATGGATTTTGATTGGATTTACCTGTGCCGGCTGCACTCTTCCATCGATCAGCGCTTTTGCTAATCCCAGAATGTCATTTGGGCCCCCAGGAGCTGGAGGTTGATGAAAGTTAGCACTGCAAGATGCCTGGCTAAAACCGATGTCAAATGCATCCACAGTGCCTTGATAACCTGGTGGCCAAGTTTGACTTGGCCAGGGTGGCTCTTCTTCGATTTCTTCAGCAACTCTATCCTCTGCCTCACCCAAGTAAGCGGAGGGGGCTGCAAGGACACCCCTTCTTACCAGGAGCCGGGCTTGCTGAATTCTTCGCGCTGTCTCCGGCGACGCTAGATCATGCCTGAGCACAAAGGTGATCTCCCGCATCAGTTCATCTAATCGCCTCAGTGCCCTTATCACAAATCCTTCGCCACCCACAGCAACACCACTGCTCAGCACTGCCGACGTGAAATCTCGCCCCGAAGCCCACTGCAGCGCTGTTTCACACAGCTTAGGATTCAGACGAGTCTTAATCATTTCAGTACCATCGCAGCCAAGCACATCGGCCGAGATTGGATTGAGGAGCTTGCATTTTGTGCAACAGGGAAGTTTGTGAGAATGAAGCTTCGCAGCCAGCTTCGCAGCCACTTTGCGACAAATTGCAAGTCCTTCACATACAGCCGAATCAGAAATCTTCAAACGGTCATTGTAAGACCCTTCAGCCACAAAGGCAGCACAAATGGCAAAAGATTGCGCGGCAGAGTAGTTTTCAAAGCCCCGAAGAGCAATTAGGATGTCCGCGACTAGCAAAGCATCTTCTGCCAGGAACAAGTGGCAAGCCAGTAGCCCTTTCGGCAAAGTAACACCCGACTTGTCAACAAAGTCGAGCTCTTGAAGGACCTTCACCATTCGCCTTGCTTCCTGCTGGCGCGACATTGCTACAGTGGGCTCTGTGAATCTCTGCAAGCTCCTAGACAACATAGCGTAGACATGTGCAGGGCCAGCTGAAATCAAATGAAGTAGTGAGGCCCACCGCATTCGATAGCAATTCACTACCTCCGATGGCTCTTCCGTGTACAACTTGGTCAGCACCGTTGTGGCAGGCTGCTGCAAGATTTGGTCGCTATGCAGCATAATATACACATAGCCAGCTCGATCCAATCCGCGCCGGCCTGCTCGCCCAGACATCTGACGAAACTCACTTACATTCAACATTCGCCGGGCCCGCCCGTCAAATTTCACGACATCTGTGAAAATGACAGACTTTGCAGGCATATTCAATCCAATTGCAAACGTCTCGGTTGCAAAGATTACAGGCAAAAGCCCGTCTGCAAAAAGCAACTCCACTATCTCCCGCAAAAGCGGTAGCCTCAACCAGCCCAACAATTGCATCACAGCTTGGCTCTCCCCAGAGTTTGTTTTTGCATAGTCTAGTTAGTCATTTCAAGTCGAGAGTTCGATTCAACTGATACTGATTGGGGTAAGTCAGCGTCCATGTTTGACTCTTGAGATTCGATTATATATGACTCTCGTTCAACAAACCCTACATCCTCACAGAAGACACCAGAGCCAAGGTTTCAATACAGCAGAGGCTAACCAAACGGTCAACGTGAAGGAGACTCTTCAGTTTGCCCTTTGGTAGTACGTCCATCCTCGAGTAGCAAACGCTTCTACTTTTCGGTTGCGATGATGGTGGCTCTGTGGGTTGCCAGGGGGTTGTGCTTTTTGAGGAACCCAAGTAGATCTATAGATCAAAGAAAAACGCTGGGAACACTGCAACCCCAGAGCATTGCAGTTTCATGCATTGTCCTGCCAGTAACTGAGCTGCTGACATGCCGCCATGGTGCACCCCGATGCCACGTACCAGCAAATCACAGCAGTGCTTTACTTGTGCTAGCTGCTTGTCCCGTTCATCCAGGCCGGCAAGGCCAGCTTGCAACCGCGCATGAATCTTGCTCTTTGCAGCATTGCTGGAAAAGTCCATCCGCTTTCCTCCTGCCAAGAGCAATGCGATTCGCTCACACATCCGTTTGTCAAAGCAAAAACCGATGGTTGGGAGCTGCTTCCTGTACCATAGCAATGACAGAAGTCGCTCCAAATCCTCCACTTGTAAAGACAATGGGCCGCTAGAGGAGTCTGGCGCCTTTGCCAATGCCCCTTGGTTTGTCAGCCAGCGTGTCACTCGCAGCTTCGCTTCTCTCTCAACATCACAATCCAAAGCTCTGACCTCAATGATCCCTTCGTCTGCGACTCTGACAGATGCTGACAGGCCAGCCATTAGTTGCTTGAGATTTTGACCCTTGCGACCAATGAAGCGTGGAAGCAGCTCATATGGACAACGCCACTTTGGCTGACTCTGGAGGATGATGGCTCTTTGCCGAACGGCCTCACTCAAATTCCACGGCTTGAAAAAATTACGAGGCGGGTTCATGATACTGAAGAGTGACCGTCTCTTTTTGCTGAAGTAGTCTGGTGGTCCGCATCTGAAGACACCATGAAATAGCGGAACCTTGGATGGGTGAATAACCACAAAAAAGCTTCGTCACCACTAAAACTGCCACGACCATGACCCTCACTGCTAAGTAGTCGTACTCCTACTAATCTACTAGCAAGACAAACAACCAAAGCATTTGATGGGCAGTCAACTCCGGGTACAAACTCACCTTTGAACTAGGAGGGAGGGCAATGTTGACACCGCCGGATCAGTACCACTTGATAGGTGCAGCTGCTGGCTACATGCAAGTTTGAAGCAAGCCCCCAATGTTCTTACTTTGTTTCCTCCATTCCTAGGTCCTAGGGTAGCCTTGATACAACGTGAATCCAGCTTCAATGTGGCATCATCGGAGGTTAGGCAAACATAGCTGAACATAGATCGACATGAATATTGACAGGTACAATACGTTGGCACCACTAACACACCCGTAGTAAGTTAGAGGTTGTGATATGCATTCGAACCGCGGCCCAAATCAAATAGAACATCCTATCTGGTGTTGTGATTATATAGGGAAATCCGAATCTGTCATCGCATTTCTGTAACGGAAGGCCGCTTTGAAACGGCATTATTGGCATCATTAGCAAAAGCATCATTTGCCAACACTGTTCTTCCCAAAACATATTTGCTTTTAACCAAACCTAAGCAACAACATCTATCTTTCACTCCTCTCTAGTTATACAATGTTATACAAAGCCCACTGGTAGCAGTGGATAACATAAGAAGATTGTTAGATGCAAGACGGGGACAGGTCGCTGCTCGCTTGTGATGACATGCATCGGCTCTGTTCTGACCCTCGAGCACCAATCTCCAATCGTTCTGGAGTTCGGCACAGTCGCTGACAGCAGCACAAGCCTGACATGAAGAGGCAAAAGTATCAGCACTTCTTCCCATGCATAGCCCCTCTCAACGTTGCCAAGAAAGTGGGCTTCATCGATAATAACATAAGCAAAGTCATCCATGAGATTTGGATCCCTCGCTTGCTTGTAAAGCATGCTATGCAGAATCTCCAAAGTCATTACTACAATCGGAGCATCACTGGCGATAACCGTGTCACCGGTCATTATGCCAACATACTGTCCACCAAACAATTTTCCAAGCTCCAGGAACTTCTGATTTGACAAGGCCTTGATGGGAGTTGTGTAAATCGCACGCTTCTTCTCATGCAACGCCATGGCCACTGCATACACTGCAACTGCCGTTTTACCAGCAGATGTAGGCGCGGAAAGCAAAACAGATTCGCGGCGCTCGACGCACGCAATGCCACGGGACTGCACCGGGTCAAGGGCATGCTTGAAAGTCCACACTTCGAGACTTGGGGAGAAGGACTGAGCTGACGGAATGTTGACAAAAGAAGGGCTGACTGTATGGTGTGAGAAGCTTGGATGTGACGGATGTGAGACCCAGCTCACCTCAATGCAATGTGGGTCCTCGTCTTCCTCGCAGCCGTCTGGAATTGCATCCCATGTGTCCAATCGTATAGCTTCTTCCAACTCTGGTGCGGGAAGGTCAAGAATGCGCTCGGCATTTGCCGCAACTCCAAAGTTGGTGGCCCACACATCTGCAACGCACAGGTCCTGCGAGACTTGCACATGGCAGTTGCAAGCACGAATCAAGCTGTGCATCCAATGCACGAACGCTGCCCCTGTGAGCCTTTCACTTCGCAACAAAGTCTGGAGTCCAGTGTTTGTAAGGCTTTTTCGGAACCAATACGGCCCCTGGGGCAACCTGCCGTCACTCTTGAACGTCAAGTCCACAGTTTGCTCGTCAGCATTCAAAGGCTCGTCTTGGGCTGCGCTAATGCCCAGGCTGTCAAGTTGGCGTAGGTGATCAGCATCCGATCGTGGAACAACGTCAGCCGACGCCAAATGATCCAGGTCCTCATCACGGTCTTCTGGATCCTCAGGCAAAACCAGATCCCTAGCCCACAGTCAGTATCCAAAAAACTGGTTTTGCTTCCGCAAGATATCACAGAACCTATGAACAACCTACCGCAACGAGCCAACAGAAAAGCAACGATGAGAAAGCTGCGGTTCAGACCACCAACCGGATCCGGAATGAAAAAGAACAGGGACAGGCAAACGCAATATGATAGCATCACGTGACAGCTCCTGAATGTGAGAAAAGTGTTCCAGTACTCAGCAGTCAATCCCTAGCTCCAGGGTTCCTTTGTGATCAAAATCTGGCGCCACAGCTCCAGGGGAGTTGCAGGTTCAAAGTTTGCGATCAGGCCTGGCTTGAAGAGAAGTAAGAGCATGTAAGAGCCCCCATCACTTCCAGCTGTCTGGGCGAACAGCATCAACAGAAGCGCAAAAACAAAGCCCAAGAATTACCCCAATCTGGTTGTTTTAAAGCAGCGCTGAGATGTTCAACAACAAACACGTAACCAGCAAGAGACTCATGCATCAGTTGCGTATCCAGTCATAACATTCAGTGAACAGGATTCAGAGTTCTTGCGATCAGCTGGTTCCAGGCAAAAAGTTTTGATCAACATCTGGTTCCAGAGTTCCAAGGCTCCAAGGGTTCAGGGTTCCAAGGTTCCAGAGTTCCAGGCGACAAGTTGCGAATCAGAGCCTGTTCCAGGCGACCAGGGCCTGGTTCTAAAAGAAGTAAGAACGAGTAAGACCCCCTATAAGCTTCCAGCTATCGGTGAAAAACCATAAGACAACACCACAAATGGCAGCAGCGACAGCGGCTAGGAACCACCAGCACAACCAATTCACCAACACAGCAGCCAAGCAAGCAAGCACCCAGGCAAGCAACGACCCCGCAACCGCGGGGAAGAGTGAGAACACTGGAGGAATCCAGTGATTCCATCGCAGAGTCATCGCAGAGTAAGCTCAGCTGAGGCACTGGAGCCTCTTGAGTTTGATCTTCACGGACCTGGAGAGCCGATCTCATGGAAACCGATTGGCTATGAATGAATCCAATCTACCTGTCAATCACCCAACCCCCCACCTCTTCAGGTGTCAAGTCCCAATCTTCTCGCTTTCGCTTCAGTGTTGTGCTCTCCATTGCCAAAACTCAGAACAATCGATGCGCCTATGGGCAACGGGCCGGCAACGGGTGCAATTTGAGCATCTTCTCTACTGGAACCAACCAACTATAAGCGATGAGAAGGTCTTGAATATCCGAGGGCGCGAGAAGTTACAAAAATGCGTAGTAGTTTGCTTGGCTCATGGCAAAACGGGGACCATTTCCACTTTTGCTAGCGATTAGCTCCGTCAGTTTTCGGCCAAGAAATCTTTGTTGCGCCCTGGCTTGCATTACGTCGGCACAATATGGGTCAATTGCCCGAGACTTGGAAATAAGAGGAACATCACGCGTTCAGTAGTACTAGCACTGCATCAGCATCAGGGAAACTTGCATCAGCATCTTTTCGTTGGTCCAGTCCTGGGCTTCGGATTCAAGAGAAAGAGAAACAAACATTGACCTATCTTTGCACCTGATGAACTTCAAGATCTGTCTAGAACCCCACCAAGTCTTTTGCCAGCAAAAGCTAACTCAGGAAAGCAGTCCCGAGTTCAATGAGGCAGCAATCCAACTTCCATCACATTGCCCGTCTGACCGGGCTCCAGCAAAGCTCTCTCCTATGATTCCGACAAATTTGGTTGATTCTACACTTGTTCCTAGTAGCTTTTTGTTACTAGTAGCGTCCTTGTTACTACTAGTAAGGGACTTGTTACTAGAAGCGATGCACTTGTTCCTAGTAGCTTCTTGTTACTATGATTCTCCTATGTGTATGCTGATTCTGCTACAGCAGCCCCTGTCGCTGGGGTCAGCGCGAGCTATCCTTCTGGCTACTAGGTAGTAGCGTTCTTGTAGCCTAGTAGCTACCTAGCTCCTACTGGCGGCCTACCCCCCCGGCCTTTGTCGCAATCGAGGAAGAATCTGGTTGGATCTCGCCAGCCGTTGAGGACATCGCCGAAACTCTTCTCAAGCATCAGCTTCTGAAAACAGACTCTGAAGACGGTAATACCTCACTCTGAAGACGGTTGTTGGAAAAAAACATATAAGAAAAGTATATAGGGTGTATATTTTTTTTGTATACCAAAATACCTTCAGTGGTTCTCCAATGATTTGTTGGACAACTACCTTGTGATACCTCACAAATCTTTACGACGAAAGTATGACTTCAATCTGGCTCATTCTCTCTGTCATTGTTGCATCTCTGCTGATACAAAACACAGCATCGAGTGGAGCACGTATCATCAGCCCCGGTGTCATCGCCTTGGACAATGAAAAATAGTATATATTACGGAAAAATGAACACAAGAAAAAGAGAGAGAGAGAGAGAGCGAGAGGTGGAGAGCGAGTGCGTGCGAGAGAGAGAGAGAGAGTCTTTACTCTTGAATTAATCGTCCAACGGGTGTCAAACCGCATACTCATGGATCTACTACAAAATGCAAAAATGTCTGCCTTTTGCAAGCATTTTCACCTGCGATATCTCAAGGTCCCAGACTGACAAATCAATAAATATGAAAACACATCCTTCGAGGCCCGCCTGTGAACTGAATCACAGCTGCCGCAGGACCATCTTCACCGCGTTGTGCCTCCACCACAGCCTCCGCCTTCACATGATATCAAAAAAGCAAACATGCGGCAACGATTATGATCCAGCAGAGAGTCTTCTGTTCTGTCAACAAGTCGCATAACAGTGCGTGTCCCTGCCTCTATGTTTAGCATGCGAATGAACAGGGGCCTTGTCGTGACGAGGGATCATGCTCAGCAAATGCATTTGCTGCAGGTCTGCAGGTAGACAGAATTAAAAGGAAGTCCAGTCCAAAGGGCAAGGTCAGTCTGTCTGCAGCTGAGCAGTCTTTCTTGAGGGCGTTGCAATCGTGTGTCCCTGTGTCTTCGCGGAAGCCATAGTTCTTCTCCAAACATGACGTGCCAAAAGTACCTTGGTATTTGCAACCAAACGGTCCAGCCTGGAACTCTCTCCAGATTCTTGTGTAACAACAACAACAACAATATTTGCTGGCATCTGGGGCACATGGTGAGTTGACATGGAGTGCGTCCCCGGGTATCAGGCTCCCAAACCACCTGGTAAAAAACAAAAAGGTATATAAACCTAATTCAGTTTGCTTTGGAGCAATTTGGAGCAACTTGACATGTTGACAGCGGCACCTTGCCCACTGGAAAAAGGGCGTGGTAAGAAGCTGGCGTATCCTTGGCTAGAATAAGCATGGCAAAGGCCAGCATGCCAGAATCACCGATCAGATCCAGAGGTCTTCTCAGTAGCTTAACTCCTACCAATACCCTGCGACTGGATCAACCAAAGGCGGTTTGAACACGTCTGCAACCCGGCTGCGCCGAAGAACCGCAAGGCACGGGCCTTGCTCAGAATCCAGATATTTTGAAGGCAGGTCTGCACAACATTCAAAGAACAAAAAGATTGCTCACACTTCACCTGACAGTAACTCTGAAGACCCTAGTTCATGTGTGTGGAAAGGACTTGCTGAAAAGCTGTCACTTCCCGACTTCTAGGCAAGAAGGCTTTACGCTAAGGGAATAGCGTAGAATTCTTTGTTCCGCAAATGCACTCGCTCTCGGCGCACCAAGAACTGAACCTCATGGTCAAAATATTAGAAAAGGAATTCCTCCATCTCTGCGACACAAAAGCCTCAAGCCCTGGGCGCAACAGTAGCCATTCAGATCACCCTGACGGATCAAACCAATCAAGGCGCCAAGAGTGGAGGCAACATGAAAAGCCAGCCTGAGACATTGCTGGAGTAATTGATGACCTAAAGACAGTCCTGAAAAGCGCTAGGAGTTTGGACCAAAGCTCCTAGTAGCGTTCTTGTTCCTAGTAGTACGGCCAGGAGCCCCTAGTAGCGTCCTGGCTCCTAGTAGCGATGCTGGTTGTTCCTAGTAGCGTCCTCTACCCCTGAAAGACAGTCCTGAAAAGTGCTAGCAGTTTGCACCAACGTCATCAAATGTCAATGTACTGATTGAACTCTTCCCTTCAAAAATGCACTCATCGGTGAGGAGACTGGAACTGCACCATACACATGTCTTTTTCGTGGCTCAACGGTGAAGCTTGGGGTCTTCAGCCACTCCGATTGCTTTTACTGTGGAAGACCCTAAACGTCGCAGTCTATCCTCGCGGGTACAAGTTCCAGAGCAAGTATCGTTGTTCTTGGTGCATCGCTACTAGGAACAAGTGCATCGCTACTAGTAACAAGTGCCTTACTAGTAGTAACAAGAAGCTACAAGGAACAAGTGCATCTGAGGCTTTGATCAGTCGGCAAAGTGCGGTTGCATGAGAAAACAATGTCTTCACCTCGGGCTTGGTTATACGCTTTCTGACCAGGAACAGCACCCTATATATAAGTCCAAGCTGAGAAAAACCCAATCTCAAGGCAGAACTTGCCTAAGTCTAAGGCTGGGCGTCAACAATAGTGAATAGAGAAGAGTGTTTTCTTGTACGAACTTAGACCTTTTGCGCGGGTGGGAGACAACACGACCTGCACTTCTCTGTCCTCCAAAGCTGTGAAACCTCAAATGCATCTGGCGTTCTGCAGGGCTCGGTGCTTCCTGCCAAGGCACAACACAAACACTCTACCAAGGCAGCCAAGGCGTGTACTACGCTCATCAAGCTCTCCTGGGCAGTCATGCCGAACATAATTGTGCGACAAATGGATGAAGCCTGCTTCTCTTGGCAGGTAGCCCCTGGCGTGAAATTAGGCACACAGTCACCCTCATGTCTTCTGCTTTGTGCAGAAATCCCTCACCTTGCGGCAGCGAAGACGGTGTCCATCAGCAAGTCCACCGTCGGAATATGCTGCCAGGCATGAGCCAATCTACCGATCTACCACTGGAGAAATGGTAGTGTGAGGAATGGCCCGTGCTCTTCCATTCGTCCAAGCGGTGCTGCCTCAGGCGCATCCGCATGGAGGAACACGGCAAACTCGGGCATGTTGTCATAGCGGTCCTCATTTCTGCCAATCGTCTTTGGAATTCTTGATGCTGCACAGATTGAAAACTGAGCTTTGATCCACTATGTATGCCAGGTAAGCAGAGCAATCATCTGCTCTGATCTCATCATCAACGAAGCGGACCTGTGCCGCTTGCGGCGCCGCTGTGCGAGATCAATTACGCTTTAGATTTCGCCTCGACTGTGTGGAACCAACTCGACCAGGCAGCGATCAATTTTTGTTTCTCCTCAAGGCATAAAGCTTCAATTGCTTCAACTCCAACGGTCAATATATAACTGTTTCTGAAACCATGGTTCAGAAACTAAATTTCTGAAACTAAGTTTCGGAAACTCCCTATTATGATTTGGAGACTGTTTGGCATGTTTCGGAAACTACAAGTGTCGGCATGAAGTATCACAAAGTCACATATTGTTGCAATCACAAAGAACATTAACCATGTTGGCCCCCACCCCCCATCCCTCCAAGCCAGCAAGTGTCGACAGGAAGCGACACAACGTTGCAATTGTGATTTCTGACAGACATATAGTTTCAGAGGCTTGGTTTCTGAAACCCACATAGTTTCTGAAATGTAAGTTCTGACGCGTGCACAGTTTCCGAAACATAGTTTCTGAAACGGAGTTTAATCAACTCCAACAGGTTGCCCTGGAGCTGATCACATCTGAGCACCAAGAGAAGACACACAAAGATGCATTCCACTCCTCCTCTTCGTTCGGGAAGATGTGTCCGCATTTGTGATAGATCCTCAACTGGCCATCGGACAGCTGTCTTGTGTATATACTGGTTAAGAAAATTGCAAAGAAAACAAGCAAGAAGGCCTGAGCGCCACAGAGTTCCGGATGGTTTCTGATCTATCCTGCAATGTGATTGCTGCCATGGTGGGCTGCAATATGTTGCAGTCCTCCCTAGATATCCAATTTATGACAGAATCTAGGTTTCCTCATCTCGCCACGGCAATCGGTGGAATCCCCGAAGCCACTCGATGCGCTCGTTCCTCGCTTCCCAAACACACATGAGCCGTGCTTCGTTCCGTTCCGAGTCTCCGAGCCTGCCGCAGTAGCACAGAACCAAGTCCACCGAAGGTGTCACCGAAGGTGTCCTCGATAATGATAGGTCCACAGAGCTGTCACAGTGTGTCCCAGCCGAAAAGAGTGACACATCGCCACTCCTGTGCCTTGTTTGCGGCTGCAGTTCACGCAAAGCATGAATCCGTTGCAATCCCTCGACCAAGGGCCACCTTTGGATCCAAAAGCATGAATCTGAATCGGTTGGGGACGGCTTACTCTTGGCCACTGATGCCGGAAAACTTTGGGAGCTTGTGCAGCACCTAGCTTCTGAGAAACCAAGCTCTTGGAAATGGGGGATGTCTTGCAGTCAAGATTCCCATTCACATGGTGGCTCTGCCTTGGGTTGCCAGGATCATCTAAAATTTATGCCAGCATAGACCCCAAACAGCTTCAAAACGATTTGTTTCGAACAATATTAGTCAACAACGATTTCTTGGTACGCCCTACCTTCCCCCCAAGAGCAAACTGCTTTATCAATGATTTTTGTCGGCATCGACATCGCTAAGTGCTCGGCCACAAGAGAAGACAAGAGAAGAGCAGGACAAGAGAAGACAAGAGGAGGACAAGACCAGGTCCCGGTCACAGAACCCGGCCACAGAGTTCAGGGGCGCGGCCAGTCAGTGTGGCCAGCTCTTTTTTTTCTAAGATAGAACCCCAACAGTAAACTTCTTGGGGAAAAATGAGCCAACAAAAGCAATTAGCATGGTTAGGTGCATCGTATGCTACAAATATCTACAAATGGTCTGGGCTATTGGCTCTAGCAAAGTGAAAAGGTACGCCTGGGCGCTGCTATCACAGTCAGTTACGTGTATCACGCATCCACAATGGATGAGAAACACCGGAGATGTGTCCACTCACAACATCTCACAACCAGGTCGCAACAAGGAACCAGCTGCCACAGCCTGGTAGGGCTAGAGATAGTCATTGACTTGTGTGGCACAGACTCATGCAGTTCACAACAAAGAACATTGCCTCGTGATGTCGCTCCACATAATGAGCATAAAGAGCAGTCCACATCGCATCCTGTATCATTTGTTCATTGGAGTTGACATGAACTGACACAGGATAAGCCGTGCTGCCTTCTTGCGCACAGCGCTCCTGTTCAAAATACACAGACTCTAGCTTCAGGAGCAAAGCCGTAAGAGCCTTGCAGGAGCAATTGGTTCAGCATTTGAAAGCTTGCAGGTGGTTTTGCCTCACCGGACAAGACACTCAGGAGCGAACTGCTGGTGCACAGCTCCTGCGCAGGCGATCCCTTCCTTCCTTCCTTTCTTCCTTTCTCCCTGGATTCCTTTCTTCCTTTCTTTCTTTCTGTTCCTTTCTTTTCCTCTCTTCTCCTTTCTCTTTCTTTGTTTATTGTTCTTTCTTTTCCTTCAATGTCCTTTCCTTTCCCTTCCCTTCCCTTCCCTTCCCTTCCTTTCCTTTCCTTTCCTTTCCCTCCCTCCCTTCATTCCTTCTTCCTTTCTTCCTTTCTTCCTTTCTTTCTTTCTTTCTCTTTCTTTCTGTCTCTTTCTTCCTTTTGTCTTTCTTCCTTTTTTTCTTTCTTGCTTGCTGTCTTTCTGAAGAAAGAAGTACTGTCCAGTCCTATACATGGAGTCAAACCGTCGTGCAATGTACCCAAACTCTTGGAAAAGCACCAAATTGGGCGTTCCATTGCGGTACCATGCGCCTGCAAGATGTAGAATCTGATAAGAAGCTTAGCTCAGCATACGGCAAAAAGAAACACACACACACACCGGTCATGCCTGCACGAGCTTTGAAATCTTGAAAAATATTCAATTCACAGCCGCCAATTGAAGAGATGTCTTCCACCGCGTTGATGTCCACAGGCCCATGGCCAAGGCAGCATCGCTCATAGTTGTAGGTTGCATCCCAACACTGTGGGTTACCATGTGGCGGTGGGAGGCAGCAAGTTCGAAAATTGATGGCCCCAATCCAACATGTTGGATCACCCTGCGGAGTGTCTGCATAGGCCAGCGCGGCCACCAGCAAACCCCACATCCGCCACGGCAGCCCCCATCGCCACCAGGTTCGCAGATCTCCGCGAAAGCTTGGGTTTTCAAAGAGGGTGTGGGAGCTCTAGCAGTATGTCCATACAAGGATTCTTGCAGCCATGTTTGGCATATCCTGGTTCAGAACTAAATCCCACAAAATGTCCTGTTGACAAGGATGTGTTCAATGAAAACGAGTTCAGCCATTGAGCATCTGCCAGGAAAACGTAGCGCAAAGAATATGAGAGAAATTGTCGTCCAGCCGGTGTATGAAACACAAACAAAGGAGCAATGCAAATGTAAGCCGAGACATGCTGGGCAAATCTAGCCTGGCCAGGCATGGATTCCAAGCGCTGAAGCAGTCGCTGCCGCTCCTCGCGCACGTGACCACGAGGTTTGATGTGTACCTATACACGACTATGTGAAAATGTTATCAGTGTATATAATGTACGTCCTGCAAAAAAAACCTACAAGTCCACTGCAAGTATGTGCCAACATCTTTGGCCTTCTACCGCGTCCAGCTTTCAAAGCGGACTTTTTTGAAACCGCGGCGCGCTCCGCTACACGTGCCACCTGCACTGCGCTCAGATTTGAGCAGACCTCAAACGAAGCTGGACTTTGAAAGCGCTCCATGAAAGGTATGTAAGAGGCATTGAGTAATGTTAAAGATTGGGACAAGTGGACTTCATCCTAAGTATTCTGATCAAGGTCGTTTGGGGGAAACAATCGCCTGCAAACCGCACCAGTGGAACAAAAATCCCCCGCCAAACACCATTTGTTTGCAAATAGCTGCTAGCAAACTGTTCCATCTTATTCCACCTCCCTTGTGAGCATCCCACAATTTGACAATTCCTTGGAACATGGTGCCATCTCTTTCCGGCCTTCAGGAGCACCAGGTCGTTAGATGATTGGGCTTAGTCTCGGCCGCGGGCCTCCACAACAATAGCTGAAACACAGGACGTGCCAAATGTTTAGAAGCAAACCAGACTACAGCTAACCCACAAAGTTGAAGCCACATGATGTGTTTTCCTGGCACGGGAAAACGACTGCACCGGACTGCACCCCCATAGACAGAATGCCAAAAAAGGGGGCAAGTTTGCCAGCAGTGTTTCGATGGTTAAGTCGAGAAAGGTCCTGTCAATGTTTGCAAAGTTGATGAAACTATGCATGCAACATCGTACACAAAGCAGTTTTGCCTTTCATAAAGACAACCTGGCAAAGTCATAAGAGTCATAGTATATATAATAGCCGACACAGGAAGCAGCCAATATCCTTGCAATCTCGCCAATCAACATCTGAAGTGCATGTCATGTCCCCTCTTGTTTGCTGCCAGGGTCATCATAGCAGGTACAATGTCGCATACAAACTGATGGTGAACACTGAGGTATTGCACTCTCAAAAATGATCTCACGAAGGCAAAGCAATAAATAGGCGACGCTGCAAACAGCAACACACCACTCCCCTCCCTGCTGCTTCTGATGGCAGGTATGATTCGTGCCCAAACAGAACAGTGTTGTTGTCCACAAACATGGTCTGACAAAGTCACAGTAGTTGCAAGCCAAAGCCCCTCACTTACTGAGAGCGCCTGCACCAACACCGTGTCTAAAATGTAAAAACACCCAGAACTGCACCTGCACCGACAACCTGTCTCCAAAGTGCGCACAGCCAAGTCATTCTTTGCAAGAAGTGACTAAGCACCCCATAGCTATGGCTATCTGAGCTTCAGCCAGCAAGCTGTGCATGACATTTTGAGGAGGAAGAAACATATTGAGTTGCACGCTCAATCACCTGAGGTTATATGAATCATCAAAACCTCTATTGCGTTCGTCGACTTGCCTGGCGAGAGGGTGGCCGCTTGCCGCGCTTCTCGCGTGGCAACATCGAGCGGGACCGAGGTTCCTGGCGATGAATTTGTTATTGCGCTTGATGGCGCAATCTTTGTTTCATCGATCCAATTCATCATCCCTTTCAATTCTTTCCAAGTTAATGCTTCTGCAGTGGGTCAAACGTTCTTTTGATTTCTACTTTCTCCTACTTGAAGAGCCAAACAAATGTGTGTCATTGTTTGTATCATTCCACAGAAGTGGAACCATCCCTTGCTTTTCTCATCTTTTTTCCAATGCTGAATCAACAATCTGCTGCAAAACGAAAGAAACTCCGGACTCCGCCACAGGCCTTCACTGGCTGCCCAGTCAACGACTCCAATCGTCTTTTAGCAGATTCCAACTTCTCCTCCTCCTTCTCCAAGGTGTCTACAGCCTGCAAAAAGGCTTGAAAGTCTTGGAAGGCAGCACTAGAGTGGCACTCGCAGCACATTCTCTCTCAAAGTCCGTTCGGCCAAAGACTTTGTCAGTCATTCGGTGTTTGTTTACCGCCTTGTCGCGGGCTTCTCTCCACTCCCATGGGTTTTCCTCCTTTTCAGCTTTCTTTCGCAGTTCCTTACGTGTCATGATATAGCAAAGCTGAACATCTTCGGTTACAAAGTCCCAAGCCTCTATTTTCTTCTCAGCTGCTTCTTGCTCCTATCATTCTTGGAGTCACATCCAGTAGCCCTATTGGAAGTAGCCACCCCCAAACCACTACTTACAAGCGACCTATTTGTCAAGCAGGTCTGGAATCCAAAGTGGATTTCACCGTATACGCATTATCTTGCCTTGTTCTCAGCATCCTCTGCTTCATCCTCGTGCTCCCTTCGAAGTCTGGCGTGCTCGTCCTTAACCTTAGGCAGCCAACAGTACGGAGAACCCTAAGCCACCCCAGCCATTTTGCTCAGCTTGGTGCCTTCACGTCATACTCCTGCCAAGAAACGAAGGTCTTCGGCTATGTTCAGGTGTGCAGTTTTCGAGCACATTTGGCAAATTGCCACCCCAGTGTTGCATCCAAGGGTCTGAGGGGACATATTGAGACAAATGCAAGAAGTCCACTGCAACTGACTGGACAGTCTCATATTGTTCCACAATAGACAAACTTTACATCAAGCACGGCGAGGCCTCAAAAGCATTTTGTTCGTTGTTATGTTTCTGCAAAGTCCCTCGCGAACTCTCAACATGTTCTGCAACATGATTTTAAATCACTGTACTTTGGATTTGGGCTCTATAGGGGCTCAGCATTTGAGCAGGGCAAGAAGACTTTGAAAAAATTGATCATTCAAAAGAGACTCTTTGACTTGGCTAGTCGCCAATGTCAATGGCCCCGTAGCAAATTTACTAAAAGGATTGGATATATTTGATCAAAGAATCGTGCTTCAGGAAATATTGCTCCTGGAAACCCCTACTTTATTAATCCTAAAAACCTCGGACACCGCGACTATTCCTTCGGAAGAAATCATTGCTCAACTGAGTGAATATGACATAGAAATTCCCGTGCAAAGAAATTTCTCCTTAGATGGAACCCTCACTTGACCTTATCACTGTACTTCATAATGTAGGAAACAACTCTCAACATGTTCTGCAATATGTTTCAGTCAACATTATCAGCAAATCATCAAACAAGTTGTCTCCAGACCCTTGGCCCTTGTGACCTGAAGATGGGCAAAACCCTCTCAACTGCAGAACTGGGAACTCCAAGCAGGCTCAATTCTTGCCTGACGAAAAGGCAACGGGTCCTTTCTGATCTGGGCAATCTTCTCGGCCAACTCTTCACGCAGCTTAAGTTCTGCTGTATCCATGGACAAAGCTAGGGTATTCTTTGCTTTGCTTCTCATCTCACCTTGCTTCGTCCGATTGCCCCACTTTCAGCTTCTGACATGCAACCACGACATACCCTGCTTCAACATTCTCTGCAACTGAAAGGTTTATTTTCTGCAGTCTGGCGACCTATTCAAAAGACTGGCGCCTCAGTGCATCGCTTAAGCCTCTAAGCCCACTACTGAGTTTGTCTTCCAGATCTGCCTTGATCCTTTCAGTTTCATCTGCGACCTACAGAATCACGCTGATACTCACGGTGCTGACCAATGCACAACGGCATACAGCAGCCTTGCGATCCACTGCCCGCATTGCATCCTTTTGCATCTTCTTTAATGAGGCCTGCATGCAGTGAACAGAACGGCTGAAAGTCTGCAGGTGCTCCTTGCTTGCCTCTGCCGAATCTGCTTCCTCGCGTGCATCTTGCACACGCTGGTATGCATCCTGAAACTCGCTATCAGCTGAATCCCATGAGTTTCTTTCAGAAAACGACATGATAAGCATTACGACGTTCCTCATATGCATTTCGGGCTGCGCTGATGGCTTCACTTTTCCTGATGCACTACAAGTACTTCCAAGGTGTCAAGCTTTGCGTGCTTCGTCTGCTCAATGCATTTCGATTTATGTTTGCCTCTCTTAGCTGGCTTCTTACCCCCCACCCTCTGTCTTCTCATGAATGGGATAAACTTGGTCAGCCACCTGGGCAGTCCATCCGGTGTCCGAGAACGGCGTTCGCGCTGGCTTTCTTCAGCTCGTGAATCCCGTGAATCACCTGAGTGTTGGCTTCTTGTTACTAGTAGTAATGCCAGGAGCTACTAGTAGCGTCCTTGCTCCTAGTAGCGATGCCCTTTGTTACTAGTAGCTTCTTGTTACTTCCTTCTTGGAAAAAAACAGAATGCCACCAGGTGGCTTTCATCTCTGTCATCTCGTCCTCGTCCCTCATCTCTTCTATCGTCACGCTCTCGGCCACGATCTCGACGATCGCGATCGCCTCGATCGCCTCGATCCCCTCGATCGCCGCGATCACCTCGACCTCGATCGCCTCGATCTCGATCACCTCGATCACGATCCCCTCGATCGCCTCGATCACGTTCTCCCCGGTCTCTCTCACCTCTGCCACCTGAAGTCAAGAGTTCCACAAAGGGGATCTTGCGTTTCAAGGCAGAGAGAGTCCAATGTCTGGTGGAGTTCAATTCACAGGGTATGCTGTGTCAAGATCTCAGCTGCTGCCACTCGGACTCAGTTACTTTTTTTCCTGTCAACATCTTTCACTCTATGAACCAACACAGCCATCTTTGGGCCAGAGAGTGCAGTTCTCTGCATCGTGCTTGGTTGGTTCAGCATCATGAATTCACAAGGTGAGACACCCTTGACTTGTGCTCGGGGCCACATATTGTCTAAGCATCGTGGCCCACATTCAAATATCTGGTCCAGCTCCCTTCTTCTAGAAGGCTATCGAGATTTTTCTATGCCTTCATGAATGCCAGAAGCATGGATGTTGTCTAGTGGCCTGTAAACATGCCAAAGAGACCACCAGATCCCCCCCATGAGCTTGGAAGCTGCAGCGATGATGCAGCATTGCAATAAACTATGGCATCACAAATGCTGTCGAACAAATGCATGAAGGGAATTGCCATGACAGCACCAACCACTCCGAAGAGGAAGGTCAGCATCTGCTTGTCTGGAACAAAGTGGTCACTCAATGGATCGCTATAGCGGTTGATACTGTTGCTCAGCATCCAGCAAACGGCAGCTGTACTGACGGAGACCACAGCGACACCAACGAAGGAGAACATCATGGCCAGACCCTCAACAGCCGCCAGAGCGCTACCGTAGTTGTTCATGAGCTTAACCGCATGCTGCGCGCCCTCACAATAAGTGGTAGAGTTCATGGCGATGTCACAATAGGCCAAGCTAGTCATGAACCGCAGCAAAGCTTCTGCACAGGAAAGGCAGCAAGTGAAGCACTTCAAGAAGCATGCCACCACAGGATTGCCCGAATCTTCAGCCGCACGAATCAGGATCGCTGCGAGCATACGTAAGACCCTGAAGATGGTGCAAAGGAATGAGCCATAAAGCAAAGAGCCCAAGTGATAGGTGGCTGCATAGAGGTAGCCATAGAGCAGGTCATATGCACTGAACTGAGACCAGAAACTATGGTCTCGGCCTTTCATCCGAAAAAACCAGACCTGTGCTGTGAACATCACTACGAACTGAGAGATGGCATGTAAGAGCTCCAGGATCCACACGAAAATCACCACATAGTAAATCAAAGTAAAGATCACATAGGGATCTCCGGTGTAGATTGGCTGCCCCGAAGTGAAGTCGACGTGATTCGGCAACTCTCCAGCCATGTTCAGCATCATAAAGCCCACGAATCCCGGGATGAAGACCACCATCGTAACCGCACTACTCACCCAAGGCTGGACAGACAAAAGGGGCATGTCCCGAATGCATTCCGCCGCCTCCTCGATAGATCCTAAGGCCATTTGGATGGTTTTTGCCTTGAAGACCGCCACACAGGCCAACAAAATGCCAATGCCACAGAGGGCCAGGCCAAAGGAGAGGTTGTTCTGCGGATCACCTGTGGTGATCATTCCAGGGAAAGTGTTGGGTACGACGATCTCAGGTGACGCTGACATGTAGACATAAACAAATCCCAAGCAAGTTGGAATTGTCACCAAGATGATCAAGCAAAGCCAAACCAGGAAATTGGCACAGAGTGAAATGCAGAACAAGTACAAGTACGAAAGAAGCGAAGCCACAATCGATGCCATCACCAACTGCTCCCAATCGTAGGTGACCTCTGTTGCATCAAAAAGGGTCTTCACAAAGGGGTTGTTGCCGAAGAGGTTCCTGATTTCACTTGACAACTCACCGGAATCAGGCATGCAAACCATGCCAGCCAGGGAATGGGTTGGATAGCTCATCTGTCGTGTCCCTGTGGCACGACAAAAGATCTGGCTGCTGCTATCAATGGGGCAGCTTTGAAGACAAATCTGATGTTGCAAATCCAATCCAATGGCCTGAGCACCTCCGATTCCCTCTTGTCGACAAAAGTACAAGTAGGGGCCCTGTCCCATTGTACCGCAAAGATTCCCTTCAAAGTCTGGAAGCGATGTGAGTCTCTCGAAGCTTCCACTTTCCATCGCGTTGGAGATGCAAATCCCAAAGCCTATGATTGCAGCAATGAAAAGAGGAATGAAGAGGCAATCAGTGCAAACTCGCTCCGTGTCCAGTGGAGTGTGTCCCTGAACGTAGCCTTGCATCTTTCCGAGCAAACGGTTTCCCTCTTCAACGATCCCCCAGCTCTCCCGAGCATTCTTCTCGTTCGACGAACCCCACATGGATCAGAAGCACCCGCAACGGCGGGAGACAGCGGATGGCCTTGTTTCCCCGAAAATTAAACTAAAAGATTCAGCCTTTGAACGATGGAACATGTCTTACTTGAAATCGGATTTGTTTTTGTAAATATTCTATCTTTGGGGTGAGGCAATTGACTTGAGTCAAGGATAGTTTCGAACCAATGCGACATCCACAGCGTGAAATCGTAGCACAGTGAAAACTAGCACTTTGACGAAGACTAAAAGAGCAGGCCATGACCTTGGGACTTCCATGGGCCTTCATGTGCTTTCATCACATGCTTTCATCACATGCTGTGGACAAAAAAGGGCTTCCTTTCTCAGCTCGTTCCACCCGTGCGCCTTGACGCCGATCGCGCGGTCGAGCTTCCCATCGATCCCGAGCTCGTCCCCTGAAACTGGGGAAAACTGAGCAGAACGCACAGTTCATCTAGAAGGGGATCCACTGGGCGGTTGAAAGCTTTAAATGAAATCAGAGGATTTCTGGGGTGCTGTCTCTGTGTCTCATGCACGAATTGCTCTGGAGATTGGACTCTAGGACTCAAAGAGCTGTCAAAGTCCTTGAAGATTCTGGCGCAAATGTTTCAGGTTCGTCACCTTGTAACGTGCTTGCATCTCTGCATCTCTCGCTGAGATATGCTGGATCTGGACTTCATGCTGCATAGCGCTGGGCAATCGCTGGGCACTTTGCAAGATCAAAGCGCTTTGGTGCAAGGGCTCCAAAAGACTCTTGAAGGTGCACGCAATGCACTAGATTGCCATGTGCGAAACGGAAGCTGCTTTGAACTGCTTGCATCCATATTTGCACTCCAGCACTAAAGGAAGCACAGACCTGGGACTGCACGCAATGAACGTATTGGGTAGCATATACCCTCAAGTATCTTTCAGAAGGCGGAGCCTAGAGAAAACACAGATGGATTTCAAGGGCTATACAAAGTTGTCCCGAAACACATCAAACCTGTATCCTCGCCAACACTTTCGTTTTGCCCTTTGCATACACGCCAATCCATGTATGCAGCTCGGTCAAGACATCTTTCGCAGGGAGCCACCGACCGTCTTGGCCATCTTCGACTCTATGGCCATCCAACCGAAGCCACCGATGGATGCCACTGAGGACAGCTGAAGCCACGCTTTGAAGTTGCATCGGGGGACGGCACATGTTGCAATCAAGAGGTGCACGCTGAGTAAACACAGAAATGATCTTCACCTACTTGCTATTCACACCAACAATCACCAGCAAGGTTGAATCCCAAAAATACAGCCTGATAGCATTGTAGAGAAATATCTGTGCATTCGGGACCCCGAAAGAGACACTCAAATAAGTCATCGCCGCAGGCAAGGCCTCCGGTCCCAATCATCTCGATCTTGACGTCGTCCCCGGGACCTCAAAGCGATCCCCACCACTGACCCCAACCAACATGACCGTCTTGAGGCTTCATTGGACTTTAGAATAGTCAAAATGACAAACTACTTATATACCTAATCACCTAATCCGATTAATATAATTCCACAAATACACACTTGTGCATCTTGACGATACCTGCAGTAGGGTCCCTCCCCCAGTATCGTCGAGTCACCGTGAGCGGCCATCCCCACGACGATCTCTGCGGCTTGGTGAGCGCGAATCGCGGCCGCCTCCCCTGGCGTAGCCGCCGCAGCCGCCGAACGGTAGTTGTCGCTGGGAATGGATCGAAAAGACAGAGCTTCTTGCTCCTAGTAGTAAGGCCAGGAGCCCCTACTGGTAGTAGCGTCCTTGCTCATAGTCGTAATGCCAGCAGATTCCCGCCTTTGTCCGCCTTGAGGCTTCTGACCAGGACGCTCCAGTCTACAACCTTGTCCAGCGATCTCTGTCCCTTGCCATGATCGAAGCGCCTGCAGGGGGCAATGCTATTCAATTGATCTTTAAGCCCTTCTTCATCATTGATTCCCAGTCCCTCTGCCTTGAGTTTAGGGGTGTCGGTCTTAGATCAGCCTTGTTAAGTGACAAATGCGCCAAGCACCGCCAGCTGCGAACGATTCAAAAAGCCATGCCCCAGAAGCACTGCTCACTGCACCAGTGACTCAGAACAAGCTGCCATCATAACGTACTTCCCTCGAAAATATGGGTCTAATGCTGACGCATGCTGACGCAAACCTCACGTGTCCAGGCTTGGCTTGTCAAACACGCTGAGATTCTCTTTCAGCACATGTTATTCTCTCGCGAGAAGGCCAGTACCACTAGTTATAGGGCTTTGTGACACATTAGACTTGAAACATTTGAAGCTTGGAGGGTTTGACAAAAGTTCCGCTTAGCACGTCCTAGGAGTGAATGTTCAAGCAGGCCAAGTATATTTCACTGAATGGATTGTAGGGCAGCAAGAGCCGTCAAATCTCTGGCCACTGCGCCACTCCGAGATTCGCATCATGACTAGAACAGGGGCGAAATGGGCCACACGGACATCTGATGGGCAAATAGCATGGTGCTTCAGCGAGAACAAGTGCGCACCACTGGCCTCTTCAGCTTTCGAAGCATCCGAGAAGGTGACGAAGCCAAAGCCACGAGAGTCACCAGTGTCCCTATCCTTGATCAGTTGTACCTTGATGTCACCAAGTCTTCGGAATGCTTCTCTTACGTCATCCTGACAGGACGATGGAAAGCAACATGGAAAGCAGCAGCGGTTCTTCCAGCGGTCCTCTGTGGCGTCCGGTGATAGCCTTAGTCGTTGCACGGACCAAACCCCAAACCTGAAGACCAACCGACCAAGGCTCTCCGAAATCCAGGCCGAGCAACTTTCCGATAAACAGCTTCTCTGGCTCTTTGTTGTTCCTTAAACGGTACGAGCGTTACATGCTATAGAATGCCACTGTTCACTGCAGCAACGAAGATTGGTAAAACTTAGACTGGGCAATGACTGCAGCAAGATCGTAGCGTGCCACCTAGCGTCCCGTCGCGCCCACGGCCGCCACCACGCCGGTCATCCCGATCATATCGAGACCTCCGTCAACTCCAGCACTCACAGCTTTGCGAAACATGAACCAAACATCGCAAGAACCTCATAGCTTGTCTGCTGGGCATCAGGCGCATTCTGTCTTCCTCCGCCAGCTTTATCCAGTTTGCCTTGATAGAGGCATGTTGCAGCGAAAAGACAAACATGCAGTCGCTCTGTTATAAACGACTTCCTTGGTGTTGCGTGCCACTAGGCAATAGATCACTGTAGACATGCTCTTTCCAACAAAGCTGCACTTGCGGCCACAAATCTCTGCGCCATCCATTGTCCTGCGTTAGGAAAAGACTCAAAGGAACAAAACATGTTGTAATTTTTCACAATGTAATATTCTATATAATCCTCACAAGCGGCAGCTGTCCTCAACACTTTCTCAGCATCAGAAGTCTCAGCAAATTTGATGAAGCCTAGGTTTAGACTTTAGATTCTCTGTCAGGATTTTAGCCAAAGCACAAATGATTAGCCTTCAGGATGGAAAGAGATAAATTTCAATGTGTGGGCTATGCTCACAAACACATGCGTCTGTTCCCGTCTATCGAAAGCGAGAGTGTGCTCACTGTCATCCAAGGTGCCATAGCCTTTGGACTTTCCAGTCATGTTGTCTTTGATAATTTGAATCTTGGCAGTTCCGGAGGCATACGGCATTGCCGTCATAAGCTAATGAGCTGGGAAGTCATCACCTCTTGAGCGCCGTACATTGAGGATCTCTCCATACCTCCCAAACTTCTCTTGGAGGTCGCCTGATTGACGCTGCTCAGGCAGCTCTAACTGAGCTGAGCAGCTGGAAAATAAAAAACAAAAACTTCATCAATGAAATCTTTGCCCAACCCTCCATGCCTTCTTCAGCTTCAAAGGCCAGCCTCAAAAACACACAACATTCGAAAGACCATTTTTGTAGCCTGAACGTCATGGTGCAATGAAACGATGAAGCGTCCAAGCAACTGTCCGATGAAGAGCTTGTTTGGCTCTGCTCTGCCTTGACCAATGCATACATCACAAGGCATCTCGAGCGAGTCAATTCAAAAGCCCAGTCTGTAGAAAGAACTGAGGTCCTTCCAACTCTCATATCCAACTTACTGAGGGAGGCCATTTTGAATTCTTGTTTCTAATAGCAAACATTGCTCCTAGTGGTAAGGCCAGGAGCCCCTAATAGCGTCCTTGCTCCTAGTAGCGATGCCCTTTGTTCCTAGTAGCGAAAATTG